ATGATAAGAAAGCAGTTATTACAACTACCGGACTGAAAACACTGGACTGAAAATTAAACACATTGTGTAGAATTAACATCACTATGTTATGTTATCAGCACCAATAGAAATGCCTCCCTTTTATTGATGTAACTGGTCCCCTTCCCCTTCTCATAAACACCCCTTGTCTTTGTCTCCTAATCAAAACACTGGGCTTCTGCCGGAATCAGCGCTGCCGGAATAGCTCTTCTTCTGATCTCAGATAAACACTTGTTGCTTCTCACTTTGAAAGTCCTTTTTATTTTCAAGCTAACAGCTCAGAGATTTATTTAATGTTAGGGCAGCACTTCTGCAGTCAAAGCTGGAAGCCAGGCCCAGGCACTCCGTCCCTCACCCGGCCTATCCTCTCGCCGTCCCGCTAACTCAGCACACAGCCCAGGCAGTCACAGGCTGTGTTCAAGAAGCTTGGCACAGCCTCCCAGAGCCGACAAGAATCAAACACAGATGTGAGCAGTCAAAGAGTAATGGGGATCATGAAAAGGAGTAGCAAGCTTACATGTGGAAAGGAACAGGAGGCAGGGGGCAGAGAAGCGGGAGCCATTTAAAAAGGTACAGGCAGGGCACCAGATGCGCACTGGGTGACCCTGTGGACAGGGCAGCCCAGTCAGAAGGTGTTTCCACAGGAAGGGGGGCTGCTCTTTCTGCAAGGGGCCGAGGCCAAGAACGTTAATTGCTCCAAACATTAGGCTCAGAACTCTGTTCTGGCCAGAAAGGGGATCCTAGGCAGTGACCAGCCACCTCCCAATCTCACCCACGGAGAAACCGAGGTCTGGAGAAGTTAAGCGCAGTAGGCGAAAGGCATGCAGCCTAGTGGCAGGGTTGGGACAAGAACTCATGGCTGCCGAGCAACCTTCCACAGCCTCCCCACCGATCTGGTGCTTCCCTCACTGTCTCTTCCTGACCATTCCACCCCTTCCCACTTACCTCCATCCTCTGCTTCCCCAGACCTCCATCACTTCCCTCTGTCCCCTACCAGGTGGGCTCTGCTGTGCTGCTTTCTCTATTCAGCTCTCAGAAACTCCCAAATTGATGAAAGAGAAAGGCAGGAGTCATATCGAAAATAAAACTGGCTGGAGACAAGGAAGGCAGGGCACCTTCCTCCCTGGCCTTCACTGTTGCTGAGACAGAGATCCTGCTTGAAGGTCTTTCCCTGTTCATCCTCATCCTGAGACGAAATGACTGCATATTTGCACAGAGCCTGCCCTGCGCATGGTGGTTGTGTGGAGTTATGGATCCTCAGTGTCTTTCTTTCCTGTTATGGGTTGAATTGTGTCCCTCAAAAATGACATATTAAAGTTCCAACCCCCAGTACCTCAGAATGTGACCTTATTTGGAAATAGGATCTTTATAGAGGTAATCAAGTTAAAATGAGGTCATGAGGGTAGGCCCTAATCCAATATGACTGGGGAAATTTAGACACAGACAGACATGCACAGAGACAGACAATGTGAAAACACACAGGGAGAATGCCATGTGAAGATGCAGGATGGAAGTGAGGCATCTACAAGCCAAGGGACACAGCTCAAGCTACCAGAAGCTGAGAGAAAGGCATGGGACAGTTCCTTCCCTAGTACCTTCATATAGAGCCTGGCCCTGCCAACACCTTGATTTAGGACTTCTGGCCTCCTGAATGGTGATACAATGCTAAGTAAATTCCCGCTGTTTAAGCCACCTGGGTTGTGATGCTTTGTTACAGCAGCCCTTAGAAACTCATACACTAACCTACTCTCGTGGTCTCCTGGGCTACCTGCCATCCCCTAGGGCTTCATGCTATTGTCCACAACAGACAATGGAAGGTTGAGGTCTTATTAACATGCCACAGACTCCAAGCTGCATCATGTATCACGTGCATCCAAAGAGCCCCTGGAACTTGTCTAGGAAATTTAAACTGTAACCTGCACAGTCCCCAACCTCTTCCTAAGCAGGCACTCTAGAAAGTCTTGGTGGCCATGCCACTCCTGGTGCTGCTGGGCAGAGGAGACCTTCAGCACAGATGTCCCTGGTCTGTGGTCAGCTGGAGGAAAGACTCCAAACAAGTGGGGAGCTTCAAGGGGCAGGGGGCTGGGCAAATGGGAGAAGGCAATCCTCCAACTACCCAACACATCGGTTGGGAGAACAAATACAGTGCGACATGGATCAAAGAGATTTGTAAGTAACAGAGAATGTTTTACAGTGCAGCACCAACAAAGCCAACCAGAAAAGCTGCCAGCTAGGCTCCAATCCTTCCTAAGTGGAAAAAATAAACTGGTAAGGAGGGAGAACCTGAGAGGAACGCGAAAGAAAGGGAAATATGTGCATGTGGGCAGATGGGGAAGCCAGAAAAAAAGACCACACTCTGTAAAATAGTGAGTGTCCTAGAGAAGGAGAGAAGAGGACAGGTAAACGCTAAAAGGGAGAAAGCTGGTACCGACCACTGTTGCAAGGCCCATACACACTGTAATGCTAACACCTTGCAAAAGACCTTAGAAGTCAAAACAATAGGAATATATATTAGTAATAATGCTCCGTTACTGATTTATCCATTTTAAAATTCATTTAATAAACTGCCATTTATTAAATGCTTCCCACATGTGAGGCAGTGTTTTAAGCATTCTACATGGATTCAATCATTTAATCTTTGCACAATCTGATGGGTTTATTAGATTATTTCCCCCACTTTATAGATGAGGAAATTGAGGGGGACAGATGTGTAAAGTAACTTACTGAAGGTCACCCACTAGTAGGTGATGGAACTGGGATTCACAGCCAAGCTGGTGTGGCTCCTGCACCCGAGCTGCTTTCCACTGCTCTCTGCAATGTGTACTCGCTGCAAGGTTGGGGGTGGCGTGGGGACAGACAACGACAGGAGAACAATCCAAAAATTAGATCAAAAACACACACAGGCCTGGAAGATGAAGCTGAGGGACCAAAGGGGAAGTGGCAGTCTTTCTCCTAATCCACAGTGTCCGCTGTGGCTGCATGTTGTGAGGTGGGGAAGGCAGGGAGCCCAGAGCTGGCCAATGAGTCCTTCTGATGTCCCATGATAACTACCAACTGTGATTCTGCACTCAGAGCCGATATACCTTTCAAAAATCACCACCTTCCTTCAACATGTTAACATCTTTTTATAAAAAAAAATATCTTTATTGATTTCAGAGAAAGGAAGGGAGAGGGAGAGAGAAACATCAACGATGAGAGAGTCACTGATCAGCTGCCTCCTGCACGGCCCCTGCTAGGGATCGAGCCCGCAACCTGGGCATGTGCCCTGATTGGGAATCAAACTTCGATTTCCTGGATCCTAGGTCTATGCTCAATCGCTGAGCCACGCCGGTCAGGCAACATGTTAACATCTTTATGCCCAGAAAGGTAATGTTTAGAAATCCACTTTAAGAAAATAGCCAGATATGTGTATAAAAATGTATATAAAAGGCCAGTTAACTGCAGTAGTAAAACAGCAGCCACAATGAAAATGCGCCACAGTAATGAAATGGTTAAAGTACGGTGCATGATGGAATCTAGTCTATCATCTTATGCAAGCACAGTTAAAGACATGGCAAAATACATACAGTCCAGCATTAAGAGGAAAATGCCAATTAAAACTTGTTTATAAAGTATGATGAGCTCCCTTATTTAAAAAAGGAAACACAATAACACACACAAAGACAAGGATAACTTCAAGGGATATACACTAAAATCTTGATGGGATTTCTGGTAATTGGCTTCCTCTTTATTCTTTCTAACATGTTCCTGATTTTCTAAAATGAACATGCCCCAGACCAGGTATTTATTTAGTAACCAGGAAACAATGTTGCATCTTATAACTATTTCTGGAAAGACCCCCAAAGCTTTAGTTGTCCTCTTTAGCTGTCAGTGAACAAGAAAGCGGAACCCCGAGCAGCCCCAATCCACTCTATGGTACTTCTCTGACCCTCATCTTAATCCAGGAGGAGACAAAACACTGGAATTAAGGAGACAAATGTTTTGTGTTTCTGATTAGATCAAAGAGCTAATTATACATGTACATATATTCATTATACCTGCTGAGTAACAGGAAATCAACAAAGGATCTTGCTCAGGAGGCTGACTGGGATGAGGGTACCATGTGGAGGGGTCCTGTCACTTACTACACCTAACAGTGAGAGCCACGCTCTTTATTTAGTTACAGCAAGAGGATGGAAGGCACAAAAGAGGGGTAGAATGGGAGAAGGGGAAGATTTGTAAACAAAGAAGAAAACAAGCAAAATATATAGTTTCTCAGATAATCCTAGGAGCGATGTAGAAAAATCTGTTCAAGCCTCAGTTGCTCTGTCTGCAAAAGGGAAGGGGGGTAATAAAACAGCTATTTTATTGAGTAGTACAAGGATTCACAAGATCACATATAAAACACTGAACATGGGTCTCAATTCAATAAATATTAACTGTTACCATTATTTTGAGATTACAAGAGCCAAATCTACTCTTCGTGTCTGAGTGACAACACAGGGAAAGTACAAGAAATGGCTGCAACCATTCAGAAATTTCAGAGGCAAAGGGGATTCAACCCAAAGTGATTAGGAAAAATTAAAACTAAAAACACTGTAGTAGGGTACTGAGTTTCCTAACAACTAAAACAAAGGGAAAATTTTTTCTCACTTTGGGGTTTATCCAACCCCACAAGAAGTCAGAAGAATCCCTGTTCACCTCCACGATCATTTAATAAAGATAATATCTGTTCTTCGGTTTCTCCCACTGCAGGATGAAAATTAACAAATGCCACAAGACCCTGGGGAGTTTCACCTGCACCCATGCTACTCTGCTTTAATTTCCTCCCCCGTGTCTCTCCAAAGAGGGCAGAGGCCCAGAGCAAAGGCAAGGCGTCTACTGCTCCTCCACGTCCACACATTTCTGGGGTCATTGGGAGTCATGAGATTGGTTAAAGACTCAAATGGAGTTCTCCCAAAGCCTGGTGGAGCCAGACTACCGACCACAATGCAGATGCCTACCTGTGCTTTAGAGACGAAGCCCCAGAACATGAGGGTGGTTCTGATCCATGCCCCAACCACTGCACCAATGGCCAATGATTCTCCAGGGGAAGAAGGAGAGAAATGTCCCCTTGGCTAAGCAGAAGGAAGAGCTTTCCAGAAGCCACGTCTTAGAAGCCTTGGATTCCAGCCTCCTGGAGAGGACAGACGTCATCAGAGGCTGGACAAAGGGCACAAAGAGATAGATATGTGCATCTGTGCGTGCGCATGCCAGCAAATGCATGTGCAGGAATGCTCTAAGTAACTAAATGCAAGGCTTAAATCAGGTGGATTATCCCAGAGTTTCACAAACAGTAGCTTATTTCTGGTGGATCTCAGAGAGGCTAAATGATTTCTTTGCACTTGACAGAGTATAGCTTGTTAGTGCTTTTCCTCTTCTCTGTAAATCCACCTTTGGCAGAGCTCTGTAAACTTGGGAGTTAGAAGTCTTAGGTTTTTCTCAGAAGCCCTGCTCCTACACTCAAGGTAAGTCCTTCTTTTCCCCAGACAGACTGGGATGGCAACAAAACAGCAAAACAGGTACCCAATGCTAAATTTGGAGAAACGCTTCCAGAAGGCTACAACCTACAAAGCAGAACCCTATAGTGTTAAACTAGGAACAGATGAGAAGACTCCAGGAGGAGTTTCCAGAAAGTTCAAAGAATGCTCTTAGGGGGAAATAATGCAAACCAAAAACAGGAAAAGGGAAGAGAAGCCATGAGGGGATACAATAGGCTTTCCCCCAAACCACAGTGCCCCGGGAGGTGGGGGGAAACTGCTGAGACCCAGCTTCTATTCCTGCTCTGCAGAGACTCTCCCCCTTCTAGGCATACTGGCCAAGCCTAAAACACCCCAAGTGTTCACCCACCTCAGTGCCTCAGTTTGTGCTAACCAGATCTACCTGCTAAAATTCTCTTGCCTGATCAGGGGTCTCCTCAATCACCCACCAGAAGTCTTTGAAACTCCACCTGCCCTCTGTGTGTCACCTTCCCATGGCTCTCTCATTTCCATCTCAAGTTTTATTTAGCTGGAGATGTCTTATTTCCTTGGAAATACTCTCAGTTCTGGGAGGTGAGGAACCATGCATTTTGTAACCCCTACCCGCACGGGACACAATTCCTTACCATATCAGGCACTCAGTAGCTAGTTGCTGAATGAGTGACTTTTTTAGAGCCAGAATTTATGCCCATTAGGTCACCGAGCAGAGTTCATTTTTCAGATGCGATAAATGAAGCATAGTGAACATTCTATTTGTCTTCCTCTTGTGCTCCTGGTAATGACGCAGAGCTTGGGCATGGAAAGCAGCTCTTCAGGGGGTGGGGCTTAGGAACCTGACAAGAACAATAGTGTGTCTCCCTTCTGGGACTGTGATTGCACCTTCCTCAGCACAGCTCACTGTCTCTCACTCTCCACTGCTCATCCATCAGCAAGTTCGTCCAGCCCTACTTCCAAAACAGATCCCAAGTCTTCCAGCTTCTTCATGCCTCTCTAGTGACCACTCTCTCTTGTCCACTGTATTGCCATCTGATTTGTCTCATGGTCTCCACAACCTGTCCCCCACAAAGCAGGCAGAAGAACCGTTTAAAAAATGTCCACCAGATGACAACATTCTCTGCTCCAAAGCTTCCTATAACTTTCCATCACATTTGGGTGGGAAGCTTCCCAATATATTTGGAGGGGGCATGGGAAAACCTTCTTTGGCTTCTTATCACACACCTCAAGCCATTACATAAATAAATTCTGTGAGACCCTACACAATTGAGCTGGCCAGCCTCTCTCACTCTCTGCCCCAGCCACACAAGACTTCCTGATGGGTCTTGAACATGCCAATCTAAAATACCCTCTCCCATGGTCTATCACTTCACTTTGTTTTATTTTCCATCATGGCACTGACCCCATAGGAGAATTTCATTTATTTATCCATCTATCATATGCTTGTTTACTTCTGTATTTATGGATGTCTTTACTGGAATGTAAACTCCATGAGGGCAGAGGGTTAATTTTTCTCATTCACTGCTCCATCTACAGCAACTGGAACAGTGCCTAGCACATCACAGGAGCTTACTGAATATTTATGGGTAGAGGGATCTTTCTGGTACTGATATAAGAATCACCGGCCAGCAGAGTTCTCCCTTATGTCAATTAATGCCAAAAGAAATTCTTAGAGATCAGAAATCAAAAGCTGACTTTAGAGCGCTAGCCAATAATAAGTTAGCTGCTTTTTAAAGTTATCTGGATGAATTTCCCATGGACCAAAAGAAGGCTGTTAAAGGCAGCCACAAAGCTTCCCACAAAGATACATCAATGCTGAAAAGACTTTTGCCAAATTCCGGACCCCTTGTAGGTTTGCCTGGAGTTCAGTTTAGCATAACCAATATTTTTTTTAACACCGTATTAAGTTCTGGTGGATAAAAAGATAATTAGCATTGGGCCCTTACCCGCAAAGAGTGTATAAACTCATGGGGGAGGTGGACACGAGCATATATAATGCAATAATAGCAAACCGGAGATGTCTGGGGCCTTAGGAAGGGCTTCCTGCATGAGCACCTGTAATAGTCAGCCAGGCAAACAAAGTCAGGAAAGAGGTTCAAAGCTTTGGGAACAACAGGAACAAAAGTATGGCTGTGGGAGACCCCACGGAGGCAGGACACTCAATCATAAAACGTGGGGCAGGCACGGTGTGTGGTGGGAGGGCTAGGAAGTCGCATTCAAGGAACCTGATGGTACTTGGTGCGTGATGGAGACTCTTCTATCACCGCATTCTTAAACGTACAAGTGTTAGGCGGTATTGGCTGTATTCACGCTTGTCTTCCATCAGAATAAAATTTTTCATCAACCAAGATCCCAGCTAATGTAGCAAAAAAAAGAATGAAAGGCAAGATGATGGCTCAGGTCCTTTTGAAGTTAACTCAAAAATTAATCTAATAATGAGATAACAGGCTCCAGGAGAATTTCACTAATGACACTGCATATTTCTTACAGGAAAGCATGTAGCCTCACTTAAAGGAGCAATGAATGGAAGCTAGATAGACAACTCTACTCCTGAACAGAGGAGATACAGTGTTGATGACAGCACAGGAGAGATCTAGCTTGTGATCAAGGCTCTGTTGGACAAGCTGCTTAACAACTCTGAGTCTCAGTTTCCACATCTGTAAAATGGGTCAAATTAGTCCATTTTGTCAAGCTGCTATGGGAAAGTGCACATAAAGCACCCAGCACAGTGTCATCCGTGTCGTGATCCCATATGCAAATAACTAAGCCAGCAAATCCTGAACGAATCAAAAAAATTATCACATTAAAAACTCTCCTCCTGAATCACAAGCTGGTTATCTAATTGTGAGGATTCAAGGATCTGAATCCCTGCCATTTTGGATATGCCTAAAGCCGTCATTGTTTAATCTTGCGTTCAGCTTGAAAAATGCAGGGAATTAACAGGGTAAAGCTCACACAAATTGGGAACTGCCTGTGTATACTGAGGATCTGCACTTTCTGAACTGAAGAGGCAGAGCCCAGGGGAAGCTTCATGGAGAAAAGCCTAAGATCTGTACTTAGGAAAAGAAGCTGAGCAATGGCCTGCCTGCTGGAAGGCGTGTTCCGGCTCCAGGGGCCACACAGCACCTGTGAGGGTGACTGGAGAACCCGCCCAATCACACCTCACCAAGCCTCCCTAAACTACATGCACAATTCATTTCATGCCTGTGTGCTCCAGTAAAAGGCCTGATTTAATGGTTCCCCAATATAAAGATCAGGGTGGAACTGAACATGGCCTGAGACTCGGCAAGAACTAGTCTCGCTGGGACACATCAACCCGTCCTTTTCCTAACTGGGTGCTCCATGAGGTGTACTTATTTGTCACTCGTATTCACCTGCATTTTGTTGACCGCTTCTCTCCTCTCCAGTGGAGAAGCTCCGAGGGAGAGGCTCTGCCCTACAACTTAGCACAGGACTGTGAGCAGTTCAGGAGAGGCTGACATCCTTCAGACCGCCTCTATCTACGCTCACCTGAGCAGCCTCACGTGTCCCACAGCTGTTTTCCATTCTGACGTGATGCCCTGATCATTTTAGTGGATAACTCAGGGGTAAGCACTTAGTCCACAGGCCTGCACTCTGAACAGCGCACCTATGTGAAAAGGTTGGGCCTCTGAAGTTACTTGCCTTCTACATGACACCCCCCACTCCCTGGTCTGCAGCTAATAAACTGGTATGAGCCTCTGACTCAAGCTGGGCCAATCAGGGTCCCTCTGAGGAATCTGGAACTGGGGCCCTGGGACAGTCAGTTCGTAGGCCCAGAACGAGAGAGAGGAGAGCGGGTAACGGGGCACAGAGCAAGCCACTTGATCCTGCAGACAGAAAATGGCCTCCAGGCTCCTTAGTCCCTCGTGAGCCTGGTTACAGTTCCTGCCTGTGGATCCCCTAAGGTGGCACTGTAGCTGTTGTTGACACTTTGGGTTAGTGATATTCAAAATAAGAACATCATGACATGATAGTCATGGCTAACATTTATTGAAACTTGACCACCTTCCAGGCTGAGTTACATACTATCCCTTATTAATCCTTCAAACAACGTAACGTCATCCTCTTACACTTGAGGAAGGTGACTGAACCTGAGAGATACTGTCAAGGTCTCCTAGGCAAGAAAAGGTGGAGATGGGATTTCAAACCAGGCTGATACTCTCTTTAATCATAATACTATACAGGTAACAAAACAGTTCCATCTAAAACAAGTCCCTGCTACGAGGCAGGCCCTGTGCTAAGTAACCTAGCTCTTATCACCATTATCTTCACTGCAGTGATCTGCTTAAACGCTTTCTTAAGAACCTGGAAGAGATTCCCATTCCAAGGTGGCAGACCAAGTACCCACTACAATCTTCCTCCTTCCACATCAAATCCATACATGCAACAACAATACATTCGACATAGATTCATTGCTGCCTTGGCTTGAAAATAAGAAGGGGGACTTCCGGTGCTCAAAAACTGTAAGGCATCTTAAAAGAAGGTAAACATTCAAGAAACCATAGACAATGTAAGAAGCTGAAGCCAAGCACAGGCACTACATGCAAGGAATCCAGGAGAATTTGCCACAAAAGATAACCTGGGAACAAGAATGACTGACCACCGGTCTGAGGAGAGCCAGCACCGTGAAAAGAAATGGCAAAGTCTACCACCAGAAAAAAAGCAAGGAGGCAAAGAGCAATCAGAAACGGACTCTGAACTTTCCATGATCTCAAAGATACAAGGTACTGCATCCACGAAATGAGCATAGGGATGATTCAAGGGGATTTTCATAATAAGAAAGTCAGCCAGAGAGGTGGGGCTAAGTGCCACAGAAAAGGTCATCTATGAAATCTGCAACCAGGCCCACAGTGGTGCTGGAAGGGAGGTTCTGTTTTGCAGTTACGGCTATAACTGTACAGAAAGAGTTTAACAAGGATAAACAGCTGGAGAAAAACTCAGTGACTAGCCTTGCAGAAGGGATGGGTGACACATACTGAAAGAAACTCAACTTACCTGCACAGCAGGTCCACTCTCAATATTCTGTTCCACGAGCTGCCCCTCACAAACAGCAGTAGCCTGAGCTTACATCCTAGATGACATCATCAGAAAAAGTAAAGGCATGCACTGATTCTTTCAGCCACAGCTTTAGCATTTCTTTCCATCTCTTATGGGTGCCACCTGACGGCCATCTCCCAAACCCCCAGTGTGGCAGGAGCACCCAGGTGCTGACAGTGCCTTGTTAAGAACATGTTCAGCCTGACTTGGAGGAGAGCCACCTTCCAAACAGAACATGTGC